GGATCAAAAGCTAACATTATTGCAATCCACTGCGTCAGGATGAGGATTGTATAGGGTGGGCTGAAGAGCTAAACTTGTTGATAATATTCGATTGCTGAAGACCTTGAATGAGTCCTGTGAACATTCCTGTACATGCGGAAGCTGGCACAATCAACATGTTTTTCTGTAGTTGTTTTTCTGTGCTTTGCTGTTTTTACACTGTATAGGAGAGAGAGTTTCATCCTGAATCATTGGACTTCACCTTGGATCGGGATCGCGAATGGTGCCAGGAAAAGCCTCAGCGTCGCGAGGAGTTGGTGATCAAGGGGTCTCCAACAGGCAGAAGGGCATGAGGCTTATTGTTTTTCTTTTGCCTCTCTTCTTTTCATTCTTTTTATTTGCTTAATAAATGTTCCTTTTTTGTCTTTTATTATTATTCAATAAATGTTCATATTTAAGCAAATTGCTATTGTTGAGTCTTCTCTTAGCTATATTTAACCAAATCCGAATAGAACCAGGCAATCCAAGACATTTTTGGTGATGAGGATAGGATGCGTAAGAGAAGGGAAAAACAACCTAATGCTCCAGAGACCTTCGTATTCCAGGGTGGAATATGGCAGACTCTGGATTCAGGTCTGTAGCTAATATGTTAACACAATTAGGACCCCTGAAAGGATGGAGAATGGTTACAACCGGAAAAAGAACCGGAGGCCAGTTTTCTGTGCTGTGCAAGTGCACTGAACCTTGTAGAAGTGTTAATTCTTTGTGGTCTGGATTGAATGCACCTTCGTTTGTTGGTTGCTAAATGTCGTCTTGTAAAATTTTTGTGTTTTTGTTCCCTGGAGATCGAGATCTGGGGATACTTTAGAGTTAGTTTGCATTTTGGGAATGCATGGTGATTTGAAAGCATGTTGTATGCCTGTATTAGTATGGGACATGTTTGGTTAATGTAACGTCCTTTAAGAAACTGTCAGTGACTATAAACTACCAGTTTCTCACTTTGTGAATCCAGTACAAGACACGAGCAGCCAGGGAACAAAGTGTCTCATTTTAGAAAGAATGCAATAAACCTGTGAAATAGGAAACAAAATGTGAATATTTGGGTCCTTAGTTCCTAACCTTCACCCAACACCCTATTTTCCAGGGACACTGACCAAGAATGAAAATGCACGTTATACAAAAGCTCTTACATTTTTTTAATCACTGACTTGGGGAAGGACTAAAATAATATTCAGTTTCCAGCCCAATTAAAGTTGCTGTAAATTCAAGCTAGGAATGTCTGCAATTTTTTAAAGAATATTCTGCACTTTTCAACTTTTTTGAAATGCTTAAAATTAATTTTCTTCCCATGTTTTAAAATAACAAGATAGGTGTAATTCTGTACATGGGTATTTCACAGGTAAGCTGTGAGTGGGTGAGAAAAGGAAAGGTGGGCAAGGAGAAACACCTGAAACAGTCAGTCAGCAGCACCTAAAAGAGCGAGTGAGAGGAGACGCTTTGACAGGCAATTGGCATCACCAAGATGACAGAAAAATAAGTGGAGTCAGTGACGGACAAAATTGGCTGAATGGCCTCCTTCTGTTCTGTAGTATTTTTATGTCTTATATGGACAGATAGGCAGTAACATCCAGAGGAGCAGACCAGAGAAGGTTCCCGAGGCAGGATGCCAGCAGGACCCAGAGGAGCAAGTGAGCTGAGGTTGGAGAAGATGGTGAATTGTTTCACTACTCCCGCTCTAAAGAAGTGCTTCCATCTGATAAAATTGCCAATGCTGAAAACTCACTCTGTGGGAATACTGAATTACAAATTCAGTGAATTACAAGTTCAGTGTCAAAGTTCCATGTTATGTTGCGTAGACCATTTTTGTATGATCTGTGACTTAAAATATAATAGCACCAATGATTTGCTCAGTGATACAATAGGCCTGCAAATTCTGAACTTCATTTGAAAAAAATCATATGAATGGACATTAGTCGATACTTATTCTGATAGAACAAGAGGAGTAGATATTGAACAATCTTTTCTCCTTTGCAGACAATTCTTATTGAATGATTATGGAGTTCCCTTTTTGGTAGCCAGTCCTTTATAACATGGCCAAACAGAATTCTAGTAAAGTATCAGCAAATAATGGTACAATTAAAGATGGTATTTAATAGCAATTATCATTTATTAAAAAGTAAGGCACTTTGTTCTTCCAATGTTAGTTCCACAAGAAACTATGGTATTAACTGAAACGCAAAAGATTACATTTTCAATTAAAACTTTTCACTTATGTAAAACCAGCTTTGTTTTAAGAAAACAATTCTATATTTAGGTAACAAAGGCCAGAGGGGGTTTAAGGTTGGACAGATGATTCTGAAGAATGAGACTTCAAATGGCCTAAATTCCTCAACTCCCAAATCACAGCAAAATCCATCAATACTATCAAATCCAGACTGCGCACTTGCGTTGATATCTTTGGTCTTTTATGCTTTTTCACTGCCTTCGGTCAAATAAACTAACTGTATAATATAAACTGATTGGTACACTGATTGGCTTTTCCAACAGGACAAGTTATTGTGTTACCTATGGATATCTCTGTTATGGCTTGACTGGTCTGCTGAATTTCCTATTGCTGACTTACATTTCAAAGGGAGTTTGTATAAAGATCTCCAGCACAGCACTAAATATAACTGGAATTAATGTGCATCCCTGATCTTAAAATACTCAGAAATCTGAAAGCAGCTAGTAAATAATTTGACAAAATACTGGTGAATTCTATTTCAGGTCAGAAGCATTAAAATGTTTATTTGTAAAAAAAATGCTATTTTCTACTCAACAGTATAATAAGTGATGATTTTGAATATGCATTCACACAATAAAAATATTCACAAATGTTGCAAGTATAACTATTTACTATACTAATGCAAATGTAGGCAAAAGCACTGGAAATACTTTCTTTGTGGACTCTTCATTTTATAATGTGAAAATATAAGTCACACCCCACATTGATGTATGAAGGTTAAAAGGAGGAGAGAAGATGAGGTAAGTCAAAGATAGTTTTAAGGTTGAGTTTAAAGATCCAGCAAATTTTTGGAGGAAGAATGAAGGTAAAGAGCTCTTCAGTTTTAAAACCTGGGAGAGAGTAAGTTAGCGTAATAGACTGTAATGAGTCATTGGCTCAGAAAAGGGAAGCTAGATAAATACAAGAGGGACAGAAGAATGGAACGAAATGCAGCTCAGTTAGATCTAAGATTAAAATGTTGATGATGTAGTAAAGAACAAATATGAATGAGGAAGATCAAAGAATGAGAAAGGAATGAAACAATTAGTAAAAGTCAAACTATTTAATGTACATAGATAAATTCATTACGGTGTGAGGATAATATTACAGGGAATAAAAAGTTATTCATGGTATTTATTACTGCGATATTATGGTCTGTTTCAGTTAACTGTATTTTTTAATGGTCAGTCTCAGGAGGAAGAAATTCTTCAGAAATACCAAGGGTTTTAAAAGCGTTCAGAGTAAAATTATGTCATGTGATAAAAAAGTTGTGCAAAATTCTCTCCTCAACTATTTTGAGGTATCTTTAGAACAGCACAGACAGCGTTGCCATATAAATGCTTTAATATATTTTGCACTAATTAGAAATACTGCAAATTCTGATTTAGAATTAAATAATTTTGTAATATATCTAAATTCTTGTTTTCTTTATGCATTCACAGAATATGAGCATCTCTGGCTAGGCCTGCATTCATTGCCCAGCCCTAACTGCCCAGAAGGCAGTTAAGAGTCAGTCACATTTCTGTAAGTCTGGCATCCCATGTGGACTAGACCAGGTAAGGATGACAGTTTCCTCCCCTAAAGGGCATTAGTGAACCAGACGGGTTTCCCTGAAAATTGACAATAGAATCATGGTCCTTATTAGATTCTTAATTCCAGATTTTTATTGAATTCAAATTCCACCATCTGCCATGGCAGGAATTGAATCAGATCCCCAGAACATTACCTTGGTCTCTGGATTAACAGTTCAGTGATAATACCACTAGGCCATCACCTCCCAATAAGTTGCCAATAATTATGATTCAAGAAAGATCAGTGAGATGCAGGGAGAAGAAAACAATTCGACAGGAAATTGGATTCTGGATCAGATTTTGATTGTTTTGTTTTTAAACCCAGATCTGAATGAAGTTAGGTTTGTTGAAGGTGTAATCAGGCACTGACATACCTTTAGGTGCTGTTTCTTTCACCATCCTTACCTAATTAGGTGTGACTGCAATAAGCACAAATATCAGTCTGAATTAATGTAAGTGACTTTCAATCAAGTAAAACACTGTGTTTAAGAGACAGGAAGAGAGAAATTGAAGGAATGAATCGAAGGGAAAGTGCAAAGTAATGGGACTGACACATCAAGCTCTGATATGGAACCAGCACATGGTAGATGAATTACCATTTTTTTCACTATTTATGGTATGAGTGGTTTATTTACAAATTGCAATGAAAGGAGTACAAAATCAGTGCTATTTTGAGGCTCCAGTTGCATCCATGCTCCACTAGGAAGTATACACATGCTCTGTCATTTGTCAATTCTGGAAAGGAATCAGACAGCTCCCATGCTGACCGAGTCACAGACCATGCATGGGAGGATGGAAAGGCAATCACAGGAAAGAGCTTGAAAGTTGAATAGGCTTTTGCCCAAACCCAAACAAAATCAGAGTTGTCCCAGGGAAAATCCTGACCATTCACCGACTCCATTTAGAAATCCCCAGTCATCACCTGGTACAAATGAACAGCACCTTGACGATGCACACAGCACCCATTTGTGCCTGAGCATTGCAACTCAGGCTCTACAGTTATCATTGGATATCAATTTGCATACTAAATAAATCTCAGGTTTCCATTCATATGTTCACTTGGACCACCAGCTCTGTAAGCTCTAGGTCATTGTAGAGTGACCAACGTGCTCCCACACATATTCTCCATTGCTAGTTATTTCTTTTGTGCGTTTAAAAATATGCAGCCAGCAGTTGAGAATCCCTGCCCTAAAATTCAAGCCTAACAATCATTTTAGATGCCACCGCTACTTCCAACAGCAGTCTGCTTTAGTTCCTCCAGTCCAATTTCTGTAGTATAGACAGAGTGCGTAATGTCTGTTCCACTAATTGTCTTCTTGGCTAAAGGAACATTGTTCTTATTTTCAAAGCCATTACCTTTACGCGCTAGCTTACTGCGATATGTCTGTCCACCTAGAACATAAAGAATTGGATCAAGGCAACTATTTGCACTTGCAAGGGGCCTAGTCAGTTTGTAGGCTACATTAATCGCATCTAGTGTGCTGCAGCTCACATGAAGACTTCTTGAGGAGTAGTAAATGGAACGTGTGATGTGGAAAGGTAAGAAACACAAGACAAAAACAGTGAGTACGGTAATAATCATCTTGATCGATTTTTTCCTGGATTTGGCATATTCAGGGCGTATGCCATCAGGATGAAGGAGTTTCTTAGCTGTAATTCCATAACAGATCATGACCACAATGAAAGGACCACAAAACAGTAACACCAACTGTATAGCACTGTAAATCACAAACTGATTGAAATGGATTTGGTTTGCAGTATCGTAGCAAATGGTAGTGTTACCAATACCCTCTATGTCGACAAATACAAATATTGGTGTCTGGAATACTATCACGATTCCCCAAACAACAATGCATACTATTCGCGTATATCGCAGGTTTGACCATCTCAGTGACTGCATTGGAAAGCAGATCCCCAGGAATCTATAGATGCTCATACAAGTCAGAAAAAGGATACTGCAATACAAGTTTGTATAAAAGAGGAATCGGACAATTTTACACAAAGCTGCCCCAAAAGGCCAGTCATTGTGTTTGGCATAATAGTAGATTAGCAGAGGCAATGATATTGCATACATAGTGTCTGAAAGAGCTAGGTTGAACATGTAGGTGGTTGTAATGTTCCAAGGTCTCATTCGAAACACAAAAACCCATATTGCAAGAACATTGAGAATAAGTCCCACCACAAATACTATCCCGTAAGAAACTGGAAGCAGAATATAATTAAAGTCCTCATTAAAAGTACAATTGTGTGGATTCCACTCGTATGTTCCAGTCATGTTCATGTTTGGAGAATTTCGTTTGAACTTATTGGTTTAAGCAGCGCTAGTCCAAATTCATTTCCGATTCTTTCCAGAGTGCCTGGTCAACAAAGAAAACTTTTGTTTGAGACAAGAATTTCATCCTTTTTATTAGCATATAATCTTTTATGATGTTGCATTTCATGGCTTGACAATAAGGATACTTCAACACAATAAAACTTCAGTCCTGGACTAGAACAACATGAAATCTAATCCCACTTAATGGTTTCTCCTTATGAGCTGCACCATGAGGACAAACAGCAAACAAATGCTAGGCACCCCTCTTAAGGAAGGACGAGTCAGTTCTTACCACTTTAAACAGTAACTCGCCTATAGTAGTGAGTCTGATCATCTGTCTGCTTTCTTGAGTAGGATGTGATGTTCAAGGCAGGAAGAAACTAACAGGAATGATGAGAAGAAAGCATAACATAGTTGTGAAAATGGATCAGTAACATATCATTCAAAGGAAAAAATATAGCGTGGGAAGGAGGGAGGCCTGGGAGGACTGCCTCACATTTAGATACACTTTTCATGATCTCAAGGCATCCCAAAGAGTTTTACAGCCAATGCAGCATTTTTGAAATGAAGTCACTGTTGGTATTGTAGGAAATACAGCAACAAATTTATGCACAGCAAGGTTCCACAAGTATCAATGCAGTAATGATCAGATCAACTGTTTCAGTAATGATGGTTGAAGGATACATTTTGGAAAGAGAGATTTCTTCTGCAGTTCTCCAAAATATAACAAATGGTCTTTTACATCTGCCTCAGAGAGCAGAGGGGACTTGATTTAATATCTCATCAAAATTTCGACTATAACTCTGGCAGCACTTTACAGGATTGTCAGCCTAGACTTGGTGCTCTAAACTTTGATGGGGCTTGGTATCTGGCAATTAACCTTTGTTACACCCCTGACATTGCAACATTCAGTCAGTGTTGTATTGGGGTGTCAGTTTAGATTTTCTGCTCAAGTCTATGGCTGGACTTGGTAAGTGGTAATTATTAGAGCTTTCATCACCTCTGACAGTATTGTTATATGTAAAAGTGGTGAAGCTCAGTGACACAGGTTTGATGAATTACCAACTAAGCATTTTAATATTTAAACTGCTTCCAGGCTTTAAATATTTGCAAAGGCAAATGAAACTCATTGGTCACCAAGCTATCGGCAACTGTTCTCTGGGATGAGAGTTTTCTGTGAGAATGTTTTCAATCATCACTAAACTGCAGCATAAGGGAACCCTGTCCTGACGGCATTGCTTTCTAATAATTTCAAATACAAATTTATGTACAACAGAATACCTATGTATCCGCTTTGGATCAACCCTTCAGATAGTCGTGACGAACATGGCCTGAACAATAAAACAGTGAGACAATGTTTTAAATATTCAACTAGAATGAGACAAAGAGATCAATACTTAAAGGTCACATTACATGACTGTTAATTTGTAACAATATCGACTGCTTTTATTGTTAATAAATAAAATTTTCAGAACTGACTGGAATGCACCACTGCCCAGTATTCAATCATCATAGAATCCCCTACAGCGTGGAAACAGGCCCTCCAGCCCAAAAAGTCCACAATGACCCTCAGAGCATCCCACCCAGACTATTACCCTATAACCCAACTAATCTACACATCCCTGAACACTGTGGGCAATTTAGCATGGCCAATCCACTTAGCCTGCACATCTTTGGACTGTGCAAGGAAACCAGAGTATCCGGAGGGAACCCACGCAGACACGGGGAGAATGTGCAACTCCACACAGACAGTCGCCTGAGAGTGGAATCAAACCCAGGTCATTTCCACTGTGAGGCAGCAGTGCTAACCACTGAGCCACCGTGTATGATTTTACTGTTTCCAGGGATGATATAAATGTGGATCTAATTTAAGATTTGAAATCAGTTGTACCATTTTGATGGAACCTCTGTATCACTCTGACATATATGTTCTATTGACTTGTAAAGGAGTTCTGTTAATGCAGTGTAGGAGGAGTGATGGTCAAAGGAAAATACAGCTGCTACACTGCTCAACTGCTCTTACCCTGCAAAACCAACTTAAAAACAGTGCACAACGTTTCTCTTCTTTGTGGCTGCCTTAAGAAATTTGTTATTAATAAAACAATTTAAAAACTGGTTGTGAATAAACACATTTTACTGATAGCAGCGAAGTGGAGCATTGACAGTAAGACAGGTTGGGCATATAAATTTTGAAAGCTTTGTGTTTTTGATGATCAATACACAAGTCATTTTAGATCTCAGACCTACTGTGTGACACACCTCAAGCAATTAAACATTCAGAATCATCACAAGTTCACAGCTATGAGAAAAAAATGTGCAATAATATTGAGCTTTTCACATCTTTTGGGCATTCCAACATATTTTACAGCCAATGAATGTCTTTTGAAGTATAGTTACTGTTGCAAAAAAAAAGGAAACACAGCAGGTAATTGTTGCATTGGGCTCTGGGTACAAACTGGTGACTTGTGGTTGGGATAATTCATGGCTACCAATCCTCCTTTTTATGCTGCGATAATTATCAATGCTGGAGGATAAACCACTAGAATCTTAATAAGGAAAGGCAATTCTCTTACATAAAAAGTGTATGATAGCAACTCTCACATTTAACATTATAGTCACCAATTAGCCATTATGAAAACTATCAGGAGCCAGAGATGACACGTCTGTCTCCAGCAGGACCTCTGACTAAATTACCGAATTTACCAACCAGGGAAGGTGTGACATCATCAGATTGGGCAGAGCTGAATGCAACTTCAATATTAACTATTTCAAACCATTACCTTATACAATATCCCTGCCTCCTCTGCACCAAGCTTTAACCCCTTAGCTAACATTCTTTCATTCATGGAAAGAACCACTTTTACTTTCACCACCATCCCATCATATCTCCCCTCCTCCACCCAAAGTCTCTATTTTCACAAATGCAGTAGTCTCAAGTTTGTATGGTTCTTTCAAAACGTATTCATTTTAATTGGAAGGTTAGTTGGTCTTTGGCTTGAGGAGTATTGTCCTTCATTGTGTTCTTAACATTGATTAGTCTGTGAACTCTTTTTCCATTGGAGGATCTTTTATATTTTGGATGTCCAACTAAACCTGGTAATTGGTCCATTACCTTGTAGGAAGACTCTTAATCTCCTGAATTTCCTTCACAGGTGAAGTCTTCCTCACTAACTCAAGTCATTTTACCTTAACATCATCTGTGAAACTTAAAAATGAATATCCCCTATGGAAGACAGCTTTATTATTACAAGTACTTTCTTCCTTGCAGTGTCCTGGATCTCTGATCCAGCCAATTGTTTTTTTTTTGAGATGTTTTGAAAATCTGCTTCTTTTGCAGTATTCTGAATGTTCAGACCATGCATTCTTCTTTTTAACCATGCCCTAAATTGGTGGATGTCGGTTTGAATTTCATGGAATCATATGCACTCATCTCCACTTGTCTCAACCAAATATTTGCTCTCAATCTGCTGACACATCTGGGTTGAAGTATATAAGCTGTCCACATCAACTTATTTATTGGGTTGAACATCTTTGTTCACCCACTGTGGTTGTCTTTCGACACTTTCACATCCCCTCAGTTATGTTATTGCAGGATTTCTCCTTATTTAGCGCTATTTCTATTTATCATTACCAGTGATATTCTTGGTACCAAAAGAAGTGGCAAACATGCCCACTGTTCCAATAAAATCTGTAACTTCATTCCTGTTGAAGGTGGAAACAATTTTCTTACATCAACATTGGTAATCTCAATAGTTTTTTTTTCAGGTTCCTTCATGAATCCAAGAAGCCCAATGAACTCTTCCACTTGGTGCTTCTCGACTGATTGGTTGACAATGGTTTGTTTCTGAACCAATCATTCCCGGTGTAGAGTCTCCTGCTACCACAAGGATGTTGAGGTCAAGACATGCAGCAAGCTCAAGGGTGACGAGTGCTTACAGTTAACATTTTCAACTGAAAACTAAATACAAATTTTCAACCCTCAAATGCTGTTTATGTTGCAGTATTATTTGTAGCCTACCTTTAACCTTGGGAGTTGTTCCACCTGCACCATGTAGCTTCATCTTGGTAGGTTGTAACTTCTGTTATTTCAGCCATGGTATCTGATCACACATAATAGTGATATTCATTCCTGTATCAAGTTTAACAAGATATCTATTGACATAAGTAAGCTTTGTGAACATGATTTGGATTAATTACTAACTTCCCCTAGGAATGACTCTTGAATCTTTTCAAATGGAGCTAGATTGTTAAAATGGGTATCATTTCAAAAGGAGACTGCTTCACTGTATAAACCTTTGTGTGCAAGTAATCTCCTCCTCTTTATTGCTATGTTAACTTATTAAACTTCAGTTTAACTTTGAAGCAATTCTGTACCATAAGAATTGTTTCCTCCAAGTTCTGTTTGGCCCATTTCTGACATTGAATCAGTTTTGGAAATATTATTTTCTCTTTTTAATTTCTACTTAATGTGTTCATTTATTCCTATTCTTTTAAAGCTGTTTACAACATATAGCATCACATTGGCATATCTCTTATCTTCTAACATGTAGTCTTGCATTAAGTCAATGCTTTTGTCTTAAACTTCCTTCAAAATTTTAAATTAGTATTTTCTCTGTCTGCAATGTTCCATTTTGTGGTAACACCATGTGAAATACCTCTGATAAACCTTAAGCCTCTTGAGACTGCTCTGCCATTCAAGATTATTGCCGATCTTATTGTAACCTCAAATCTACACCTGATAATGTATCATCCCCTTGCTAACAAGATTTAGTTTTCCTCTACCTTAAAAATATTCAAGGACTCTGCTTCCACTATCTTTTTCAGAACAGAGTTCCAACAATTCAAAATCTTTTGACGTACAGAATAAAAAATGCCTCATTAGCGTTTAAAATGGGAGATCCCTGATTTTGAAACAGTGAACCCGAGTACTAGATTCTCCCATAAATGGAAACATCTTCTCTATAATC